TCCAGACCTTCCCCTTAGGAACTGGGGAGAACAATGGCTAGGGCCTCCCTTTGAAATGGAGTAAGGGTAATAATCAAACCTGGATTGCCTCCACACCCCCTGAATTGATTGGTTCCTGGACTCTAGAAAGGAATGTGTGGGTCCTCTTTTGAAATTTAAGGTTAAGATACTGATCTCTAGAAGGAATTCTTAGGGGAAAGTGGTCCAGGAAAGAACTGACTGGTGACTATTCTGGAATATTAACCCCAAATGGTATTTTAACGTATTATGATCTTTTCCTTCTTCAAGATTCCTGTAGTATGTATGTTACCTGAAATCTTGGGGTAGAGTCATGTTGAAAGGCAAGGGGAACTATGCTAATTTCGACATCTCTCTCTCAGCTAGAAATAGCTTGGATATATTATTGTATAATAATAGAAAATTGATATAAAATTGTTTCTGGCAGATTTAAGTGTAAAATGCAGTATAGATTATTAGTATTTTTCCTTCAGTAGTATGTTCTTTGTTTTAGCCAATCCAAAGTACTTATGATTCCTATGTTTTGTTCTATCCTTTCCCCCTTAAAACATTTGTACCATTTGAAACTGACTCTCTGTATATTGAAATCCCTCAGGACAGCTCATGCCACCTATTCTGTAAACCTGCCCCGAACCCCCCTAGGGATGTGCATCCCTTCTAGGCTACTTCTTGCCTTTCTGCCTTTCCCTGTGCAGTTGATAATATTCCGTCATAGATATTGGTGCACATTTTCATTCTTCCCCTCCTTCCCCCCCCCCAAATTGGTAAGCTCTTTGAATAAGAGTGTGTGGTAGTTGTTGTTTTCTAGTTGTGCATGTCCTGCAGCTCCTAACACATCTTACACACCGTTGATACTTTAGAAAATGAGGGAGCAGAGGAGAAGAAAGAAAATGAAAGGAGAGAGGGGAGGGGACTGGAGGAGAAGGGAAGAGGGAGCCACAACAAGAGGAAAGTGCTGAGGAGGGAGAAAGTCATTTGTAGCAATAACACAGGCATTTTGGCCTGGAGGAGATAGTTACTAACCTAGAAAGAGTTTTCAGTAGAGGGGTGGGGGAGGGGGCGTGGGCAGAGGAGGCTGGTTTATAAAGAGTTAGGAGGTCCTTCTTCTAGGCTCTGAATGAGGTCTAAGGCTGGTTTAATTAGTAGATCTTCTGAAACACTCTAAAATTTCTCTGAGAAAAGTGACAAGCTCCTAGCTACATCTGGGGGTGTTTACTTATTATTATGTTGATGATTGCTCTCTCCTTACCGGGAGAGCCTCGGTTCCTCACTGGAGATCAAAGGGAGCCTCCCTACTGTCCAGCTGCAAGTTCCTTGTCCTCAGGCTCTAGACAGTACCAGAGCACAATAGGGAATCTCTTCTGACTTGCCTTATTTCAAAGCAAGGAACTGGCACTCTTCGGAAGGCCCCAGAGTTCACAAATCTCATCTCATCTCCAACTCCAGGCTGCTTTCAGTCAGACTGTAATTCTGACTGTTCACTTGATTTTTAACTCAGTTCAACAAATATTTGTTAAGTGCTTATTACATGCAAGGCATTGATTGTGCTTAGGCCCTGTGGAGAATAGAAAGCCTGGAGACTGGGCCCTACACAGAAACAAGTATATAGCTTAATAGGAGCTCTTAACTTGGGATCTATGAACTTGGAAAAAAAAATCTGATAACTAAATTTCAGTATAATTATTTTCCTTTGTAATTCTATGATCTTATTTCTTTTGCATTTAAACACATTATTCTGAGGAGAGATCCATGACACACATACAGGCATTAAAAAAAGGTTAAGAACTTCTGCTATATAGCACAAAGTAAGATGTGATAGATGGAACACAGGTAGAAAGTACTGGAGGATTCAGAGGAAAGATCACATTTAATTGCTGCCCAAATAACCTTCCTAATACGTGGTCTGACCTTCCTGCCTCCCTCCTTATAAACTGTCAGTGGTTCATTATTGACTGCAGAACTAGACACAGCCTAAAATGGGAGGAAGCCCTCCTCTCTGGCTCCAGCCTGCCTTTTAGTTCTTCTCAACATGTTCCCTGCTTCACACAGAGCCTAACCAAGCTGGGTGGCTGCTGTTCCTTTTCAACCTCCATAAAGTCACATAGGCTGTCTTCCATTCCTGTACTACAATCTCTCCTCATCGCTGCCTGTCCAAATATTTTTTCCTTTGTTCCTACTACAGCTTGGGTTCCTCTTCTTTCCTGGGGCCATCCATGATTCAGCTGTGCAATGATTCCTCTCTCTTCACAATTTCCCAGAGAACTCTGTCTTCCTGTCCGCCTCTATCACCTTTTACCTCTAGTCTATCTCTTGGAAACTCCGTGGGATCATAGGGTCATAGCTTTAGATGGCATCTAGTCTAGGCTCCTCATTTTACAGACTTATGACTCATTATCCCACTTCATCCATTCTATGATTGTTAGCTTTACCACGAATTCCACGAAGTCATTGTTGAACCAGCAAGAAGTTTTATTAACGGCCTGGGAAGACTGGGCATCCCACATGTGAGAGCACGTGTTGACAGATAACACACCTTTTTATTCCCTACTCCTGATTCGAACTTCCCTCCCTGTTTCCCCATTGGCTGGGTACTATAGAGGTTACAGCCTATCCCAAGCCTATCTAAAGCTAATTTCTCCACAAGAGTCTCAGCCCCCAATGCATCTGCCATTCCCCACAATTCTGAGACGCCTGCCCTTATTTGCTTTTGCTCTTATTTGAGTATGCCCACACCCCTTTTACTTGGGGGGGTGAGGGATATGTTAATCTATACCGAACCTCAGAACTGGTTTTTGCTGGTTAGTCTATTCACCCACCAGTTCTACTTTATGGCTTCCTTTGCTCAACTTCCGCCTAACCCTTAGATTGTATTCCTTAGGTTCCATGTGACTTTTGTGGGGGAAAACCAAACCAAAACAAAACACAAATTAGCTATTTCTTACATTCCCTCCTGGTTTTATCTGACTCCAGTGCTGTCACATAGGCATCCGCACCCTGATCAGTGATCCACATGATCCAGTCAAACTAGTATGTTTGCCATCTCTTACATATGGCATTCTCCCACCTCCATGCCTTTGTATAGTCTATTTGTGTTTTATAGAGAAAGCGCCATGTGAGAGGAATCTTGAAGAATTAGCCATCAGCAGCTATTAATTCAAGAAGAAGATATTTTTCCTTATGGGACAGTGCAGAGGCAAAAAAGCATGGAATATTTGGAGACTAGTCTAGTTTTCTTTGGTTGGAAAGGGCAGTCCATGTAAGGTACTGGTGGAAAATGAGTGGAAAGATGGGTTGGGGCCTTGAAGCTCGTGCTCAGGAGTTTGGTCTTTATTCTATAGGCACAAGGGAGACGTTGAAGGATTTTGATAAAACTAATCATGCCTAGGATGGCTTGGAGGGGAAGAGGTTGTGGATGGAGAGGACAGTAATCTAGACGAAAAGTCATAAAGGCTTGAGCTGGGGTGATAACTGTAGGATGGAAGGATGGGATGGGTTTGAGAGATGTTGCTAATTCCCAGTGGGAACTCAACAAAATTTGGCAAAAGATTGATGATATAAAGGGATAGTTAAGGTAGGAGTCAAAGATAACTCCAAAGTTTTTAGCCTAGCTGACTGGTAAAACTATGGTGCCATGATTAGAAATAAGAGAGCCAGGAACATATGATAGTTTGGTAAGGAAAATTATGTTTGCTTTTAGATGGGTTGAAAGGTTGCATCTGAACTGTTTATAATCCTATAAATATTATTGATACTTAAGAGAGAAAATGGAGTTGAAGAAAGATTTGAGTCATGTACATGAAGGTGACCATTGAAACTATGGACTATGATGACTGAGGATGTGTAGAAAAGGGAGAAAAGAAGGATTTGGAGAGAATCTTGGGCAACACCTGTTTGTAATGGATGAGGGAGACGAGGGGCCATTGAAAGAGACAAAGAAGGGGCAGCTAGGTGGCGCAGTGGATAGAGTACCAGCCCTAGAGTCAGGAGGACCTGAGTTCAAATCCAGCTTCAGATACATAACACTTACTAGCTGTGTGACCCTGGGCAAGTCACTAACCCCAAAGGAGCATTGGGAAAATAGGAGGAGAACGAGGATATTAAAGTATCTTGAAAGCTGGGGGAGAAATAAGTTTCAAGGGGAGGTCATAAGATCATACATTTAAAGCTCAAAAGGAATTAGAGAAATTAACTTGCCCAAGAGAGACAGAGTCAGGATTTGAACCTCGGTTCTCTGATTCCAGAGCCAGCGTCCTTTCCACCATACTACAATGTCCTAGAGGAGGCAGGAGGAAACAGGACCACGAGCAAGGATGTCCTTAGCTAAGGAGAAAGTATGCCTTTAGTTTTGAGACAGGAATGAAGGGGGAAAGGGAAGAAAAAAATTGAGAGATACAAAATTCGAGAGTAGGGGAGTTAAAGAGATTTCACTTTGGATGGCTTCAATCTTCTTTATAGAGACACAGAACCAGAATTTTAAAGTGCAAAGGGATCTCAGAGACCATCTCGTGCAGTCCGTGTCTGAACAAGAATTCCCTCTACAACTATTGTGGCCTAAGTCAAAATTTGACTTAGTCTAACAAATTCAAGGTTTTTTTTTCTTTAAATGCAGTTTTCCCCCTTATGGCACTTGTGAAACATAAAATCCAATTTAAAACTTTTTCAATAACTAAACATTAAAAGCACATTAAGAATTTAAAAAGTATACACAATATAATTCCTCTATCACAGTCACCAGATGAAGAATTTAAGGAGGCAACCTTTAGGCAAAGGAAGGACAAATACCTATTCCTTTTCTCCCCTCAGGCTAATCCTTTTAAGCCACTAGGTAAATAAAATGCCAGATTGGACTGAGATATAAATGCCTTTTTCAGTTATATCTGAATAGGATTTGTTTTGGGTGGAACCTAATAAAAACAAAAGAAAACAAAAATGGTCTGAAGAAGGCTTCAAGAATTCACTCTGACTCTGCTAACTTTATACAGATTGAATCCCTTCACCTCCTACAAGCTCCGCCTGAAAGCAACAAATGACATTGGTGACAGTGACTTCAGTGCTGAGACAGAGGCAGTAACTACACTACAAGATGGTAAGAAAGCTGGGGTCAGTGCACTGTCTGAAAACCCGACCGGGGAATCGTTACCATTCATTCCAGATGCTTTTTTGGGAACTCTGAAACACTTACTCCTGAAGATTTTATTCTACTTTGTACCTGAGCAGGGAAAAGGTCTCCCCATAGCTCTTTTCATAGAGAACAAGATGGTAAAGAGCTGAATTCAATTAATGACAGGCAGCTTGGAGTATTCTCAAGTGCCCTGTGGTCATAAATCAACCCTTCAAGGGCCTCCAAATGGTATTAAAGTTTCTTTGATTGGCTTCCAAAATCTCTACGATCCATTATCATTCCAGAAGTTGAATAATTTACTGAGAATCATTAAAGATAAATGTAGCTGGGTGGGCTGTGTTTGAAGAAATTTCTTCAGTTGTTTTCATTCACAATCCACTTTCAGCTCTAGCACAGATAAATGATTGAAATGCTTCAAAGACAAAAATGAGACTCTCTAAAAGCTTTAGGTGGGTTTTTTCCCGCTTTCTCCACATCAGAAGAGTTAGGCCTGAAGATTCATTGTAATTTTGTATGACATGATCCTGCCAGGCATGAAGTGAGACTGGGAAACAACTCCATCAAATATGTCCAGTGTGATGATAGCAGGCCTGTTAGGCCCAAAGAAGAAGTATTGGTATCGTGCATCAGAAGGCAGCTAAATTCCTAGGGATGAAAGCCAGAGTAGTTCTTATATCCAGCAGCACTTAATAATAATTCAGACCCTCTTTTGTTCTGACACCCCCCCCCATCCCCAATTGCTATCATTTCAATTAAAGTGCCAGGGTAGCCATCTGAAAAACAAATTCCTCTCTAGCCAGTTCACCCCATGATCCCAAGTCTAAAATTTGGTGTTTTCTAAAGCAGAAGTTTTAGCTTCTCAAACTCCAGAGTTCCATTGACCTCCTTACAGGACAGTAAAGGGTTTGACACTGCAAAAACTTCTAAACTCCTTAGCAATATGCGGAGATTATTTTGCTGAACAAACCCAGGGCTCCTGGCGGAGCATTACACGGCAGAGGGCTGTGTGCCTCTGATAAGATTTGGCTTCCCTGTTCTTGGGTTGGAGTGAGCTGTTTTTGTGCTCAGTAGGAAGCACTGGAAATTGAACAGTGGACAGGAGAGAAAGGAGGTAGCCCTCTAATAACAGTGGTTATTACATATGGCAATTTTTTTTTAACCCCAGGGATTTCACCAACACCAACTAACATTGGGGGCTCCTCAGAAGGTAGAAAAGCTTTATAGCTGAGGCAGCCATGATGGGGAAGAGGGATGTGTTAGATCAAAAAGAACATCAGCATTGCTGCTTAAGCACAGACAGATCTTCTAGCCCACAACTCTGCCTCCTGGTCACAGAATCCTAGATGGAAAATTGGGAAAGGACCTTAAAAATCATTAAGTCAAGCCCTCCTCACTTTTCAGGTGAGAAAACTGAATCTGATAGAAGTTAAGTGAGATGTTCATGGTCACAGAAATATGGCATAATTTGAACCCATCTCTCCATACTTCTAAATCCAATGATCTAGCCACTACACCATGCTGCTTCTCAGTTATGAAAGGGGGAATTAGTGTCATGTCCTCTTCCTCTTCAACCAAGGAGAGAGCTACTCTCTGATGGAGCTTCCACCTACCCATTCCCTTCTGCCAAATAAGATGTGTGCTTTGGGGAAAGGGAGAGAGGGGCTGGGGGACAAATCGGTGTGATCACAGGGGCATTGTTCATCCCTATGGCCTGCTTGGTTCTGTACCTATATTTGGGACACCAGAAGCAAAGGGGAAAGTAGTAGTTTCTTTTTTTCACTGCCTCATTCCTAAAGCTGGGAAAACATTCTAGATTCTTTTTCCTTTCCAAGCTAATCCTGCAGCTTCCACTCTTGGTTATCACACCCTTAGCATGGCTCTTCCTTGAGGCACCCACAGGGGTTCCCTAATAAGGCATTGTCATAATCCCAGGGATAAGGATAGGAATTGGGCCTGTGATTCCATTGATAGAACTCTCAAGTGAGGACACTCTACTATTGCAGGTTTGCAAATTTTAATCTTTGAATGTTGTCTAGAGGGCTGAGTTTAAGTGACTTGCCCCAGACCACATAACCTGTACCTATCAGAAGTGGAACTTGAACCCAGCTCCTCCTGGTTCCAACATCAACTCTTTATCCACTCTACCAACTGCATCATCATCAGTTCAGGTTTGGCAAAGCAAAAAAAAATCAATCAATAAAAGATCAATCAAAAAGATCAATAAATAGGGAGATAGAATTTCAGTTGATCCTCACAACAACCCTGTGAAGCAGGGGCTATTATTATCCCCATTTTATAGATGAGGAAACTGAGATTCAAGAAGTTTTAATGACTTGCCCTGATTACATAGCTAATAAGTGTCTGAGGCAGGTTTGAATTCAGCATGTGGTCTATTCCCTATAATGTTTGATTTCAAAGGAAGGCTCCCTTACCAAAGATAGGAGATAACCCTTCCTTCAGCTCTCAGATACTTGAAATCCCATTAAGAGCTGGACAGAAAGGGCTTTTATTCCCCTGTTAGAAATGAGGCCTAAACTATAAATATGCCTGGGAGAAAGAACATGCAGTCGACTTATGTTCACATTAATATATACCAGGTGAGACTATAATGAGAAAGGAGATTTTTGCTTTTAAATCTACTTTTCAGAACTTATAAGCACTTAGGTACTTACACATACTTATATAGGATTGTTGTCCATCAGAGCAATTCCTCTTGTATCTGGGTTGTTCTGAGGCACTTCCTATGGATCCAGGAATATACCCACAACCCATTGTCTGTGGACATATGCTCTGGCCTGCTAAAGGATGTATTCAACTAAATTACTCCTTGGTTGTTTGATCCTTCTAGCAGATTCACATTAAAGGTGGCTGGCTAGAGTCAAGAAGATCTTTTCTCCCTTGGTAGACTATAAGAACCATAGAAAAGTTCCATCCAAGTCTCTCTCTCTCTCTCTTCTCTTGGGGGTAAGGTAGGGAATGGAGACAAGGCCCTCTCAGCCCCTTCCTGGAAGTCCAAGGAAAAGCTAACAGAGACCCAAAGTGATGAATGATTGCAAAAAACAGAGGCAGAGTCATTCTACAGGTTACTAATGAAGGTGGGGGGGGCACGGAGCAGTGCCTTCTAATTCTGTGGCCAATCAAGCCTCCCACCCCCACCCCGCCCCCCACCAAGGGATTAATCAGGATTTACTTGGTTACACTTGTGTTTTAGAAAAGTCAAAGCACAAGTACCCAGAGAAAGGGGCCAAAGAGCATGCCCAGTTCCAAAGGCAGTATCTCAGTATATCCCACTTAGATCTTTGGAATTTCACTCAGAGACAGTTTGTGAACCAGGCAAAAAAATCAATTGAATTGCTTTATGACAAAAACCGACTTCTTTGTCTTGATCATCTATCTATCTTATCTCTCAGACTTTGCTTTGAACAGTTTTTTAGTTGTCTCTAAAAATCCAATCCAGCCTCACAGGACAAATGGTATCACCACTGATACCATTCATAAGGTCCAAAGATGCTAAATTTATATCTGGAAAGGAATTAAGGGTTAAATTGAACCTTCTTGTTTTACAAATAAGGAAACTGAAACTTAGAGAGGTTAAGTGATTTACCCAAAGTAACCCTGGTAGCCCAGAACCTGGGTCCTTTGATTCCCAACACAGCACAGAATATGTTGTAGGGTCCTAAGGCCATTCCCAAACATCGATCCTCAATGCGTTAGGAGCAATAACAACATCATTAAAATAAGTATTGTCTCCTAAGGGAACATCTTTGAAAGCCATGTCCCTCATGTGGATGCATAAATTCTGTTGTGGTGGGGGTTTTTTTTTGGGGGGGAAAAAAGATCATATTCCTTTATGCCTAGGCCTGATAATTACTCAGTCTCAGTCTCAGATATTTTCCTTAGAGGAATCTTTGATGGAAGACAGAAGAAGTCCAGAATTATCCTTGGTGGGGAGCAGGGCATAGAAGAAGAGAAGTGTCTTGGGAAGGGGAGGACCAGCCAAGGCATCTTCACTTTCTGACAGTTTTACTGAGAGCTGGCCCAGGCCACGGCCACGTGCTATCGGCTAGTCCCTGCAGGATGAGTTTGAGGAAGCTGGGCCTGGGAAGTATTTAATAAAAGGAAGGTGAACTACTAATCTAATCATTCTTCTTGTTTGCTTCCCTCCTTCTTGTGGATCTCTAGTTCCTGGAGAACCTCCGAGTTGTGTTTCAGTGACACCTCATACCACTTCTTCTGTCCTGGTCCAATGGCAGGTAAGGTACACTAGCACTGTCATATTTCATTAAAACAGTCAATCTCCATACCTCTTTCCCTCCTCTTTCCTCCTTCCTTCCTCCCTTCCTTCCTTCCTTCCTTCCTTCTCCTTCCTTCCTTCCTTCCTTCCTTCCTTCCTTCCTTCCTTCCTTCCTTCCTCATGTTTATTGAGGGCTGGGTGTGGTAGCACATGGCCTGCAGTCCCTGCCCTGCCTAGGCTGAGACTGTTGGATCATTTGAGTTCAGATCTGAGCTACAGGAGGGTTAAAGCTGAGCCTCCAGGAGCAGAGGGCCACTAGTGTGCTTAAGGAGGGTAAATTGGTTCAGATTGGAAAACCAGAGCAGGTTAAAGCTTCTCTGCCCATCAGTATTGGCCTCTGGCTCACGAATGGCCACTACATTTCCAGCTTGTTGACAAAGGGAGACTCAGTTTCAAAAAAAAAATCCAAATATGTACTGAGTACCTACTATGTATACACCACTGTATTGTGCTAAGTGCTGTGGAGGAGAGATAGAAGTTTGGGACACAGTCCCCAGATATGGAGAATCATCTTCTAGGTAGCAAATTAATCCCAATTAATCTGGAAGAAGAGATAAAACAGGGACACAGAAAAACTATTATCTGGATCATTGTATGGTAATTGCCATTTGTTTGGTATCAACAAAGCACAACTTCTGAGCAGTGAAAGATTGATAAGGAACGCCTTCATGGAAGAAATACCAGTTGAGCTGTACCCTGAAAGGTGGGTAGGGTTTTAATTATGGGAAGAACAAGAAGAATTGGCACAAGCAAAAGTACAGAGATGGGAAAGATCAAAGCATTCAGGGAGTGGTACATCTACATAGTGAAGGGTTTGGGTGTAAGAAGCAGTAGTGAAGCCATGCATGAAAAAACACGAACCCTGTACCCCTAGCATCCTACGTGTTCCCATTTTGCATTCTGATGACTGAAATGTATTTTTGGTCTCTTCCATGCCATATTACCATATTTCACAAGATACGTGAATCAGGAAGGAATTTACGGGAACCCTGCAGATAGCAATCTGGTGTTTTTACAGCACCTAACATCTAAAAATCTCCATGCTCTTAGCTGGAGCTCTTAACATCTTCTGGATCAGAGGCCCCCAGCAGGTTAATCATAACCAGCTGGTCGATAATGGAACTCGATATGTTAAATCAGTGAGTTCCTAGCTCAGACTGCCATTTCATGAGGGGCCCCAGCCACGCTCACTTCACTCCTAGCTCAGCTCACTCTCTGGACTCTACCATCCTTGCCCATATAAGGGTATCCCCCCCACCTTTCCAGCTCTTCTTTATGTGTTCTCTTTCTGTATTAGAATGTAAACTCCTTGAGAGTGGGGACTGTGTTGTTGCCTTTTACTTTCTATTCCCAGACAGTGCCTGCCACCAAACTCTCTCACACACACACACACACACACACACACACACACACACACACACACACACACACACACACCCCCCACACACACACACACCACACATCCCCCAAAACCACCCCCAGGTATTTTCACTGAATCATCATGTGAGTGGAAGTTGCTGCCTTTGGCTCAGGATCTCAGCATTTAAGAAAAATACTCTTACCCACAAAAAAGATTGTAAATCCCCATACTGTGTTAGATTATCCTTCTGTAACAGTGACCTCTTCTAGAGTTTCTTAAGGGTTATATTGAGGAGCAGGCCCCAGCTTTATCAGCATGTTATTTCTGTATTATCTGAGTAGATTTTGCAGCCCATTCTCAGGCAGTTTTCAGGTAAAGTTGCTATTATGACTGCCTCCTTCTTAGTTTACTTTCTTCCACAGTCCTATTAATCTATTAATTGTCATTTTCGAGACTCCATACCCTAGAAGGGTATACAGAGGGTATTTGCCATACAGAGAAGGGAAACACCCAAAGCCAGTAGAGTCTTTTTTCCCCCCTGAGGATGCTGAGTTCAGCAAACATTCAGCAGGGCCTACTGGATGCAAAGCAGTTTAAGTAAGATATAGTCCCTGTCTTAATAGAGCTTATAATCTAGGGATATTTTTTTATAAACTGGAGCTGTAATTTCATTGGAGTGAATAAACTCCATCTGCCACTGCAGACTGCCACATGGAACTGATGGTCTTAGAGAGCTGCCTGAAACACTAAGATGTTAAGTGACTTGACCAGGGTCCCCAGCCAGTAGGTGTGAGAGGAAAGACTTAAACCCAAGACTTCCAGACCCCAATGCCTCTCAGTAAAGGGAGATGATGACCCATATATAGGTAACTTTAACACAAAATAGTACAGGATAAGTGCATTAGAAAGATGCAAAATGAAGAGCTGTGTAAGGAAGAAGAGAAAATCAGAAGATAATATACTGACTAGCGAGATCAGGGAAGGCTTCCTGGAGGAGATTGCATTTGAGTTGGGCCTTGAAGAGTGGAGAGGTTGTTCATGAAGCAAAAGCAAGTGCCAGCAGATAGCCAGCCTAACTGGTACATTGTGGGTAGCACAGAATGCAGGATTCTAGTGTACTAGGTGAGCCCACTCAGGAGGATTTGTGGAAGGGCATGGACAGGGTCACACAGGAGGAGAAGGCATGGAGAGATCAAGCCCTTTGCTGTTAGAGGAAGGACATCAGTGAAATCATAGGTTTATCGAAGTATTAAAGTATTCATAGATGGGTAGGCACGAGTCATTTCAGGCACAGAAAACTGCATAAGCAAAGGCACAGAATACGGGAAAATACAAGAAGTATTCAAGAAAAAGAGAGGAGGACAGAGAAGGGGAGTAATATGAGACAAGGCTAGAAAGGTAGGATAGCATTAGGTTGTAGAGCCTTGAATGCCAAGAAAATGTTTGAGTTTTATTACATGGCATCAGACAGAAATTGTGAACTCAAAAGAAGGAGCATTTTTAAGGGAGGAAATTTAATAATTATCCTGGCCAGTAGAACCATATATCAGATTATTCTTTGTTAACGCCTGTACAAAATCAATAGTCCTTAAAATTGGGGCACTAATCCCCAAAATTCTAAAAATTAAAAAAACAGCATAATTACCATAATGACTATCCTCTTTTCTAACCTTCAGACATGCATCTCCAGCTGCCTATTAAACATCTCAAACTGGATGTCTCCTATATATCTTAAATGCAACATATCTAAAATTGAACTTATTCTCTGCGCCCCCTCCAAGAGCTCCCCACCACTGAAGTTCCCTGTTGCTGTCAAGGGCACCACCATCCTCCTAGTCACCCAGGCTCCCAACCCAGGTGTTATCCTCAACTCCTCACTTTCTCACCCCATGTATTTAATCCATTGCCAAGTCTTCTTGTTCTTTCCTTCAGAATATCTCTTATATGTGTCCTGTTCTCTCCTCTGACATTGCCACCACCCTGGGGCAGATCCTCATAACCACACACCTGGACCTTTTTCCATAGTCTGCCAGTTAATGGGACAGCTAGGTGGTGCAGTGGGTAGAGCACTGGCCCTGGATTCAGGAGGACCTGAGTTCAAATCTGGCCTCAGACACATAACACTTACTAGCTATGTGACCCTGGGCAAGTCACCCCCATTGCCTAGCTAAAAACAAAAACAAACATAGTCTGCTAGTTGGTCTTCCTGCCACAGTCTCTCCCCACTCCAGTTTATCCTCCACTCAGTTGTCAAGTTGATCTTCCTCAAGCTTAGACCTGACCATGTCACCCCCTATTCAATGAACTCCCATGGCTCCCTATCTCCTTAAGAGTCAAATACAAAGTCCTCTGTTTGACATTCAAAGTCCTTCACAACCTGGGCCCCTCCTATCTTACCAGTCTTCTTATAACTTATACCGTTCTATGTACTCTGTGATTCAGTGGCAATGGCCTCCTGGCTGTTCCTCACTTAAGACACTCCATCTCTTGGCTCTAGTCATTTTCACTGGCTGTTTCATACACTAAGAATACTTTCTCTCCTCATTTTCACCTCCTGGCTTCATTGGCTTCCTTCAAGTCCCAGATAAAATCCTGTCTTCTAAGAGAGGCCTTTCCTGATGCTCCTTAAAGCTACTGACTTCCCTCTATTGATTATGTCCCATTTATCACGTCTATAACTTGTTGGTGCATAGCTGTTCACAGGTTGTCGCCTTCATTAGACTGTGAGCTCTTTGAGGGCAGGAACTGTCTCTTGCCTTTCATTGTATCCCCAGCACTTAGCACATTGTCTGGCACATAGAAGGTATTTAACAAATGCTTATTGACTGACTGAGTTTCAGACAAAAGAATGAAGAAACCCACCATATATAGCATCCTGCATTTTATTCCTCTACCAGGAAGGTCCTGGGAACAATGGAATGGAGAAAGAACAAAAAGAAGGGTATCATAGGATCACAGCTTTTCAGCTGGAAGGCACCTCAAAAGCTATCTAGACCAACCCGCTCCCAGATGTTATATACAAGCATTTTTTGTATACACACGAGTCTATCCTAGCTATGAAGTTAAATTGTCCTAAACAAGCAGCAATCAACTGAAGGGGTCATCTTGTGTTCAAATAGAATAAATGCTATGAGCCACTCTCGACTACATGTTGAACAAAGCAATGAAGTGGTGAGTGATCTTGCCAGAGGAACTGGCATATGTGTTCATCATCTGTCCCCCTTTAGATCAGAGTAGGGGGAGTTAATTGTAAGAAGGAAAGAAACATGAGGTGGTAAATATGATGTATTGTAGAAATAAAAGCTTGTCAACTGGCTGGCAGATCACGTATAATTAAAAATAAAAGTAATTTACTAAACTGGAGTGAAAAGAACAAAGAAAATATGTTTAAATATAGATCTGCATTCAAAATGGAATACTTTAAGAGCAAACTTCTTGAGTAACTTGTTTAAAAATGCAAACACAGTCTGTAATTTAAATGATGCTGACCCATTTAAATATGGCCCCTCTAGTAACCTGATGGTTTTAAGTCTTAATGGTGCTATAATCAGTCCTTTCTTTGGAAGCCAGTTCTATTTGAAATCTCAGATTTTGAAACT